TGAATATACCTGCTCCATTGTGAACAGTTTTGAGCAGTGTCATCAATAATCTCCAACCGCTGATTCTTAGAATATCTAGGACCCCAGACAACAAGTATAAACTTTCCTACATGGCTTAAATCACCAATTAGACACTTCATTGACTGATGCAGAGAGTAATATTGTTAAATTTATGTACAGCAATACTATGATTGTTAATAAAGAATGAAATACGATAAGTAGCATAGAAGAAAGAAATAGTGTCATTCCCTACTGACAAACACGAAATCAACAAACACATTCCTATTCTGTTTACCTTAACACTGTAATGTTCTAGTCGTTGATTCTTAAATCTTTCTTCATTATATTAGAATAGAGAGCAAGGTTAATCAAATGTTTCTAAGTTACAGCAGTAAAATCCATCTCATATAGTAGAAGTGATTTTTACCAAATTAGCGAAGTCTTCTGTTCCTTTGGCAGAAATCGATAATTTCACTAGGCTGTTGTAAGCCTGGAAAAACACCTTCAGTGCTACAGAAACTTTAGATCACAGAAGAATTAGACTTATTCTTCGATGAAGTTAGGAAGACTTTTCAGTTCGAGGACGGATGACGTCTGAGGGTGGAAACCTTCAAGAAACCAGTCAACCGATGTCTTCTTTCGATCAAAGCAAAAGTAAGCATAGGGACACGAAATGTATACACGATGTCTGAAACTGGCGAGGCTGCTCAGATTACGAGAGAAAAAAAACATGGAATCTGTGACAACAAATGGAATGGGAGTGGTCATTCCAGTTTGTTAAATAGAGAGTCAATAATCTACAGAGATCATCCAGACGAAATCACACGACAAGCTTCCAAGTGGAACGCAGATGAGAAGCGAAGGGTTGGGAGTCTAGGTGTGATAAGGAGAAGATCATATGAAAGATAATGAGAGCTTGTGAGCAGTTGTGGAGCCAGATGAAAGGGATAGTAGAGAACCAGTTGCCGCGGAGATGTGCCTCCAAAACTCTGTGTCCTACTGTGAACGAAAGGAATAGGTGACTAATAATAATACGTAAATCGAAGAAGACGGATGACTAGAACTCTCTAAAGCTAGATCTTGCAGTTATAAAGCTGACTAACAATCTGAAAACACCAACAGTAGGAATCCACAACACTGTCAAATCATGCTTATTCCTACATAAAAATTGATTGTTTTGGGAATTGGAGGTTATGCAGAAAAAGTACTGATACGCTCATGTGATCAAAAGTTTATAGTGATTTTTATGCCCAGAAAAGTGCGTGTGTTAGTCAAACTAAGGCAACAAGATTTTAGTCGGTAGACATTGGGGTTGATCCCTGTCTGGTCCCAAATTATCACTTCTCTTTTAACTACCACCTACTACATCCATTCTAGTCTTTTAATTCAAACTGATCACAGATGATCTCACCATTAATTAAAATACTCTTAAATTTAAGGTATAGAAACAAAAGTTCTATGCTAACAGGATATTTGTCATATCTAAGTAAAGCTGTGATCTGCTTGAATACCGTTGATGGTTTAGATTTTTGATGTTCAGATTGCTTCTGAAATAAGTTGTCTCGGGACTATAGCCATGATGATCCACACAAGAAATAAGCATAGGTCATAACCAACGTTTGTATCACTCAAAAAAGAAACTTTTTTAATATCTCTCATTTTGCAGTTTTAAGTAGCGAACATTTTATAGTTCAGTCTTATTTTTAATTCTTTTTCTGATATATTTAAATGCTTCAGTTAACACGTTATATAAAGAAAAAGTGATTTTTCGATTCAACGTAAACTTAGAAAGATGGTACCTCTTTACTCATCAGTAATCATATTTGACTTTATACATCAGACAAGGAGTTACATTTCTTGTCTGAGAACACTACTATCCAGATGTCGAGGAATAATGTCGGATTCGAACTCACGACCTAATGATTGAAATGTAACAGCCTAGACAAATGATCCACAGCCAGACAACATAAATTTGGGATACTTTTAACAATCAAATGTACTTACAAGAACAAAGCATCTATATGCATTTAAACACTTTCAAAAATAAGTTCAAGGTGAATAGCTATTTTTTTAACGATTTTTACGAACTTCTCTTATTTAACCATGTGCCACAATAAACATGCGAATAGCAGCAATAAGTGTTTAGAGCACCACTTGAAAACTTTCTTCGTCTAATATAGTCAATGGTATGATATGTGAAATGAATGCAAGCTTACTGGCTAAGTCATGCCACTATACTGTTAAGTGTTTTCAATAAAGATAACAGCACCAAAATTCATAGCACTGTCATACAAAAAAGGATGCCTAACATAGAAGGAATAAAAGGGATATTTAAACACATAATCTCATTTAGAAACAAACTTTGTTGGTCAGAATAACTTAGTTTATATAATACTCTTCAATGATTGAAGGTTAAATACACAGGTCAAAGTAACAAGTCAGGGTCACATAGATTAGCCAAACACAAAGACTCAGTGAAATCTAGATTGTTAGACCCAAATAAGATAGGAAATCTAGGAAAAAGCTAAGCCTAAACATTACACGCAGTTACGCATAAACACATAATGGGATGAAACAAAGTGACGGTTTCAATATGTAATTTGACGGGGTAAATGGAGAGACTTATGATTATGTCTTTGTTTGAGGGATCAATTGAGAATGAGTGCAACAGAAATGACTCAACACTTGACCCAGACATCTGAAAAATTCTACTACACATACAATAAATAGAAAAGAAGAGTTACAACTATAAAAACCATGTTTCAAATTTGTGGAGATAAAGATGACGTGATTATGAACAGTAAACGTCATCTAATAAATAATACTGTTTCACTGTGTGATCTTTATAATAAACATATGAGTGTGGTCCAACTGTTGAATGCTCTTCAACCGTCCACATAGTCCGGGTTCGAATCCCAGCAGGTACACTCCTAAACCTCGCTTAGCCGGTAATAAGCGCGGTAAAGAGGGAAGGTTTAGGATGAAGCTATCAACCTCATCCCTCAAAATAATAACATGGCTACTGAAATTTCAGAGCTGAAGTCTAAAGCCTTATTTTCCCCTGAGAATGTAAAAGGAATGAAAAAAATTGGAATTACGCATTACTAGTGTCCATGTTTTATACATATATTTAATACTATCATTTAATTTCGCCTACAGTAATATACTACTGAATATTTTTCTCTCTAAATAAACTATCAAGTATTCCGTTGATTATCAGTTATCATTTGCTGATATGCAATATTACAAAAATTTCGATACATATCCCATAAATTGTAGTAAAGCTGTAAGTACACACTAACTATGAAGTTCACCAAAAAGTCAAAGACAAGATCCCGCTGTTGGCAACTTCAGTGTGTATTTACAAATTCACTTGCTCCTTTGGAGTTATGTACATAGGCCTACCAGCAGAGTGTTGTCTAGACGTGCCCATGAACATTTAAGAGCACAGTTGTCTAAAAAAGGACGTAGAACAGCCAACAGCTCAATTCTGGAGCATATTACTACCTCTGGTCATACAGCATCGGCAGAGACTTCTTTCAGAGTCATATATAAGGTACGACCAAGTCGTTCGAAAAGATTTCGCCTACATCATCTTCATGCAACCAAAGTCACTAGCAGTCTATAAGGCAAAAACTGAACTTTGTATTCAAAAGCATTTTACCCAGCTTCTTTTACCTTCATTGCTTTAGTACTCATTTTCTTAGCTTTTCTGCTTTTGTTTTCCTGAATGACTGTATAATAAGCTCTGTGTAGTTCGTTTTATGTTTTTCGCAACTCATTTTCAATCCTCTGTTCTCTTGTTTCTTATCAAGTATTTCCAAGCAGTTTTTCCCCACTTGACTTATTAGTTATCAACTCTTTTGATTACTTAAGATTATTCTCAATTTTTCAAACACTTTTATTACCCGTACACTCTGATTTACTTTGGAACTAACTGATAATAACTTTTGACCTCTACTGTCAATCTGCATTGCATATATAAACCCTTTAAATAACTGTACAGCTTTGAAGTGAAGTTGCGGAAAGAGGTTTCTTTGCTGACACATGTGTTTTTAATTACATGAAATGGTAATTCGTAATACCTTTAAGTAATCGTAAAGTGTAATGCTTCTATCTAATATGAAAGTTGTGACGATCATCTTCTATTTGTCTTTTTTTATCGCTACTAGAGACCTCAACTGGAATTCAGTTGGGAAGCGACAAGTGGGTCGTCAGTGTAAGGGTGACATGGAGGAGATCGTGTGAGGAAGAGATGAGAGATTATGGGCAATCGTGGACCCAACTGAAGAGTATGGCAGAAAATAGAAGAAAGTTGAGATGTGTTGTTGAAGCCCTATGTTCCACTCGGAGCCCAAGGGAATAATAATAATACTAGAGCCTTAACAGTTACATAGACGTTACTTGTTGAAGTTATTTGAATTTCCCCTTTGAGTTATTTATATTGGACTCAAATTCGGGACTACTTCTGACAAGTCCGCTGTTACTATGGACGCTTCGAACAATGCCTTGGGATGAAAATGATATCACCTGATTGGTGGTAATGACTATCTTTGGAATCTAGGATACATGTTCCGTCCTATTTTGGGAATTCTCCTCCTCAGTATTACCTGAATCCCCAGTGAGAGATGTTCTTACCAGCGAGGCTCAAACTCATTGCTTATAGTTTCAAACGCCTAAGTTTTACCAACTACGCCACTGGACCATGAGACGTCAACTGTTTCAACTACAAGTTAGCAAGTTAAGTAACATAGACTGTTTTTATGTGTGTGTGTGTGCACGCACGATTGGTGGATTGTCTATGGATCATTAGAACGTTAAAATCACATCAACCAGAATTGTTTAGTGTATTACAAACACTAACTGATCAAATACATAAATACATAAATACACAAAAGTAGTACGTATTAACAATTAACGCCATTACTATCACTATTACCAACAATGATTATAACAAATTTATAAAGTTATTATTATTATTATTATTTAATTTGGCTTACCATATTGTAAAGTGAATAACAGAATTACAATAATCTCCATAATAAGTTTCATTATAAGTGTACTGAATTGAAAAAAATAGACGTGTTTTTTTTGTCGATTACTACTACTTTAAGTAGTATAATTTCATTGAATAACTAAACATTATTGTTATTGTCATCATTATTTTACACAAAAAGAAAGTATGATAATTTTGATGATGATAACGATGATGACGATAATTTATCGTCTACTTAATAAAATCATAAAAACAATCGCATATAAATAGAGAATAATAACAGTAACAATAATAAAAGTGCCCGTCATAATTCAACAGTTTGATATAATTGAATATGGTATATATCAAAACAGTAGTATCTCTCTCATGTCTATCTATCATATATGAATTTATATACATACATGTACATGAAGGCATTCAATTGATTTTGTGCTTTGACAGACAAACATGTAGAGAGAGTTAGAGATTGCACAATGAACCATACCACTTGTGTGTGTAAGTGAAGATATGTTCTATGTGCACATTGATAATGTGTATATCCACACCATGTATAACTGTAACTTATCTGTTATCCAATAAGGATGCACAGTACACATTTGACAACATTAAGAGTAGATGCACAAACATGTGTTGTGCATAATTAGTCATTTATTTATGATGTTATATTATTGTACTGTAGGCAACTCATACGGAATAAAAATACTTCATTCTACAATTGTCTGACAGGTGTCGTTCAAGTGTATTTTACATTAGATTGAATGAATTCTTTTAAGAACAACCAAAGAATGTGTCATATTCATCAGCAGGTGCCTATCCCTTATTGATATGCTTTAATATCTATTATTTTACAATCAGTTATGTTTTATTTTCATATGATGAAAGGCCTGAGTGCAATTCAAGTAGATCTTACTGACTAGTAATCTTAACCTTTCTATTTCTGCAGTATTATTTGCCAGGGTTGTTGCAGCCTTTTGGATAACACTTGTCCGACTGGATGGAGTGTAAAGCATCTCAATTTGTAATCTTAAGGTCCTGGATTCGATCTCCTTTGGGGTTATGGATTCCAGAGTAGGACAAGATAGTTGCCCAGTTCCCCTTGATTGTTCATGAATTAGTGTTTCAGGAGTATAATGCTCACTAGCTACACTGGAGGTTCGAGTTCGATTCCAGGCTGACACATTTCTAAACTCTGTCTAGTTGGCAGTAAAGTTGGGGAAGAAGGGAAATTGAACATGAGGCTAATTACACCACCCCCTGTGAAAACGATACAATCGCTAGTTGAAATCTTTTAGCCCCATGTTCCACTCCAAGCACAAGGAATAAAAGTTAATTTGCAGGAGTGGAGTTAACTTTATTATTAGTATAATCTGTTTCATCAGAATGCTGAGTCAATCGGAATAGCTATAAGGCGCTTAAAATAAGCTGTCGCTCACAATAATAAAACTAAGTGTCCTCTCATCTTTTGTGGTAAACATCTATAAGATTCTCAAGACGAACACTACCAAAAAATATGCTGACAGATATACTCATAGCTCTGCTACTCACAATTATCTGCTTCTAAATCTAATCCAGAATACTTTGCTTTTTGGTTATCCCAATACTACCTCATCAAGGTCTCATATTTATCTCACTTTCCTCTTTAAGGATAACAGAATTCTATAATTCTAATGCTATTATTTCAGCTCCACTGTGCACTGCAGATAAGAGAAATATTGTGGAAATTAGTCAAGCTCTGAACTTTCGTATGGTGGTTCTAGTACGAAGCAGTTTCTATAACACGTCGATATAAAGTCCATGTCCTTTGTAACTGTTTTTTCTACTTTGAACACATCCATTACTGGTGATCTAGGGTGACTTGTTCATCTATACTAGGGTTATTAGACCTTAAGCTAATTATATTAATAAATTCCAACAAGTTCTTCACCTGAAAAATAAAATCTAAATAGATATCCATATAGGATAGGGTAGTCTCTGGGATACTGTCTTTTAAATAGTGGTCCGGGGTTCGATCCCCAGCCTGCTCAATCCTTTACCTTGCCTGGCCGATAGTAATCTCGGTAATGAGGGAAGTTTGGGCATGAAACTAGCAACCGCATCCCGTAAAAAGACACCACTGTTGCTGAAACTTCGAAGCTCTACCTTGAAACCCTATGTTCCCCTGGGAACGTAAAGGAATAAAAAAGTAATAAAAATAAGTCTGTATACTAAGATAAACAATTCTTCTTGAAAGAACTCGAATTTCTTCCTTCGCTTTGAAACATTCTGTACAACTGGTCATATTTGTATGGAGTTGATAAAAAATCTTGACGAAAAATGTGTAATCAAAATAAATTCATCTTATCGGGCAAAAGCTGTTCTCACAGAGTTATTCAAATTGCTTCTATGTTTTTTTTTGATGTGTTCAACCGAGTATAAGGTATAATCACCAGAATTAAAGTAAAAATTCCCAGCGTTCACTATTTTTCTGTAAAGTCAAAATAAACAGAATCACACAATACTGTAAGCTATAGGGTTAAAATAATAAACAAAAGGTGCTCAGAAGTTATGCTTATATATCTCATATAAAGAGGGTTCAAGTTAATTAGAAAGACCAGGATACTTTGTGAAAGCTGTTGTGTAATAAAAACAGGAAATGGATAAATTGACGAAAAGTAAGCAGTAAGTTGCATAATAATTTTTTTTAATGATTATAGCTTGATTCCACACCGTATTATTGGTGCAAGTATGGAATTTTCAGCTTGCGATATCGGAAGCCCAAATTTGCAGGCCAACCATTGATACCAGGTGTGCGCCGGCAGGGGATCGAACCTCAGACCATGTGCATGGTCGGCAAGAGATCTAACCGCTGTGCCACCGACGCTGAGAGTTTAATTTAGACAATCGAAACAGACACAAATAGAACCAAAAGGGAATAGGTTGAATCGAAAGTTTAAGTAGTCAAACCAAAGGAAGTGTTAAGAGATAGAGTTGCCAGCACAAAGATAAACCAGTAACTGTTTCTTTCTGAACACACAAATCCGGTTTTAAACGACTGATAGCAATAGCCTCAGCAAATTTAAAAATAACTGAGTTCTTTTGTTGATTTTAATAGATCTCAATATGCCTACTTCATACATAATCTGTACCAACAGGACGCCTCGCGATAGCACTGTTAATACTATTTATTAGTAAGCATGCCCTTCTTTCTGTTCTCTATATGTAAATGCTACCTCAGATGAATGTTAATTTCTGCCTATAATATGAATTAAAATGGAAATGAAACCTGTCAACCTTTAATCTCACCAAAAGGCGCGCTGTTCTGAACATATGCACTTATAGTTTAACAGATTGTATGAGGTCAACGAGAAACTAACGAAATAAAACGATATAATCGGATTAAAAATGCCTATTAAAATTTTTTTCAAAAGAATGGTTACTAAACAAAGAATATTCTTTTCGATAACTTCATCATCAGGCTCTACAGTTATATATACATAATAGTGAATGAATTAGTGTTATTAACTACATTAATGTTGTTTAAATAACATCGAATCAATAATAATATCAATGGATTACAGTTTGATAGCATCAACATAACAATACACTGAATATCAGAAGAATTAGGAAAAATAATAGTACAGATTCATCAATTTATAGTCTCCACTGAAGACCGGCCAGGGCAGTAGTAGTGACTGGACTTGCTTCTTTTGTACACAAAGCACTGGTTATTTCACGAGAATCGCGATAGCCTCTGCCGTTCAGAATATGTGGTATCTAGATGTTCTTGGCAATTTATTTGGTAGCCGGTAGATGATGGAGACGGATTCTTTAATGTTAGCTTTATGAACAGTTTGGACCAGGTGGTCTAATATCGAGCTATTGATATTTTTCACTATACTTTTACTTGACCACAGCGGTAGGTGTTCCCGAGCACGGAAGATCAAGTTCCTAGAGCGACGACCAATATAACTTGCTCAACAAGTACAGTTGAATTGGTAGATACAATTAGAGGTGGATAGTCTTGGACTTCATCTTTCAACTGAAGAATTACAACTGGTCATGTAGAAAATATGACCTGTAATTTACCAGCACTAAAAGTTCTTTGAATAGTTTTTTTAACTTGTTAGTAATTATTTCATTCTTTACATCACCCCTGAATTGCAGTCGTGAATATGAAGGCTTCTTATTTACAGATAAGGAATAGTCCTTTTCTACTTTCTTGGCCATGTGTTTCCTGATGAACTTTTATGGATAGTCGTTTTCAACCAAGGTATCATATACAATCCTTACTTCATCTTTACTTACCTTTTCTGACCATATAGCTCTAACCCTGTGGCTGAGGGTCCTTATTGAATTTCTTCTGTACAGAAGAGGATCGAAGCTATGAAAATGTGTTTACTGTCCTGTCCATATGCTTTTCTTATGCAAATTTCTCTTTATACTACCATTATTTTCACTTTATACAAAACTGTTCTTTGACGAAAGTTCTACGGGAAATTATATGGCATATTCCTTTTTGAAGTGGCGACAACTTTTGAACGGTTGGTATTAGAGCATTTCAGTAATTAGGCCAAAATACACCAGCATGACTTCAAGAAAGTTCAATAATATACACTTAACTTTTGAACTTACTACCTCCTTCAATCCATTACTAATATCAATATCAAGCAACATTTCCTGATGAAAGTACAGCAAATATAACGCAGTTCAAGAATAAAATACTACCGATAATGTGTACTTCAGAAACAAAAATTCTTAGTGGAAAATTTCATTGATAAAGCATGCAAAAAATAAAGTTCGTCATTAAATCACCATGGCAACAAACTAAGACGCTACAATTAGCGGGGATATGCAATAAAGGCACTTAAGTTCTACAAGATCTAATCAACTTCATTTTGAGGGCTGCTGTGAATATAAAGTAACACTGGTTAATCTTTTTATAATAGTTTGTGTATAAAACTACTCATCAGGCGAGATTGAAGACTACAGATTACTGTGATGACCGTATTAAAATCCAGTGGCCTATGACGGCAAAGTTAAACTTTGAGCACCACTAACTACCAATCAGCGAACGACC